TTGCCCCAACCCAGGTGCAGGGTCTCTGTGTCTTTTTTGGGAGGGAGGTTGTGTGTGGAAAGGCAAATTCAAGACATTTCAGAGATTTTGTAAATCACTACCTGCCAAGTACTGGTAATGTGAAGTGAAAAAGTACAGGTATATAAAAGTAAAAGTAAAATGTGAAGTGAAGTAAAATGATGCATGAACTTCATCTTTACTGAGGGAAACTTGTCATGACCTTCTGGGGATATTGAATAGCACCACTGGCTCTATGTGCTACAGCCCTCAGCTTCTCCCTTCAGCAATGCTTACCCATGGAAGGAAATGTAGAGGACTACTACAGTTTGAACCACTGTGTGAACTCACATGATTACTGGGAAAGAGGAGTAGTTACAGGTTACTGGAAGGAAAAGGGGATGGAAAGCCCTTGAGATGAAAAGTACTTTCTAAAGGTCAGATTAATGTGGGACAGAGGCTGCCTTCAGTAGTTCAATTAGTGACTAAAGGTAAAGGAAATCACAAGTTTATGGAGTAGTTGCTCTCAAATTCAAAATCTGAGGCGCATTTTTACCTCTGTAATGTACTAGAAACTAAGAGGGTGAATTCTGCAAAATTGCATTTGAGGGCAATATTGCTTATCAGACAGAAATACACTTATCGATATCAGTAGGTAAGACTGTACCTATCACCACAGTAGGTGTCAGGTGAGCTATAGAGATAATGACATAATGATTCTTCATTTTGGGAGGCAGTGCCATTCTTCCATGCATATGCATTCGTGAAATTTGGAACAGATGTTTTACAGTGTTCAATACCTTTTAACAGAGGAAGAGGCAAGTATATGAATCAAACCTGATAAACAATGGCTTGCAGCTCGAAGCAACGAGATCGGTGAGTGCTCTTCTCTCTGGGAATGGCTGTGTCTGAGAGCAAAGCTGTCCCTAAGGGAATAAAGAAACGGAATATGTGAGTTTACTGTAACATTTCTCTCCTCTCAGGAGAAAAAGGGCCCCCTTTTTTCCATCAGTAGTTTCCCTGTGTTCTGATGCGAAATATTTTAAACTTTGTGTCTGTTCCTTCCTCTGCAAAATAAAAGTTGGGAAGCTAGGAGATTACATAGGTTGTGTTTGCTCAGCACTTGGAAGATATGAATTACTGTCTGTGCTCTGAGGAGAGGTTCTCCCCCTACCTGGGCTGTGTAGGATGCGTGGGAATCCAGTGGGTGTCTGGGGCAGAATTCCTCTGCCAGAGAAGCAACGCAGGGCTCCTGCATGTGACCCAGCTCCTCGCAGGGCCTGGCACTATGCAAGTGGCTGTAACTATCATGCTTTGTGTATTTTGGGCTGAGATGTCGCCTGCGGGCCATTCACGAGCATTGTGATAATGCACACCAGCTGCTAGAGCTGCTGTCTCTTGCAGGGAGGGTTAGAGCCCTTCAGAGCTCCTTTCATTCCTGCCCTGGTCTCCCTATCCTGGACAATCACTTATGGTATAAATGTGTTGTTGTCATCTATAGTGAACTCCAGAAAAGGTCACTTTGCCCCTTCCTCCCAAATTAGAACCCATGGCATCGCAGTATTTATTTGGTTTCTGCAGTGAGAGCAGTATCCTGCTGCATGTCCAAGCAAGCAGTCTGGTTCTTCACATTCCAGTAAACCACTTTCTGGAAGTCTGACATGGACTTGTTGCCATACTTAAATTTTGCGGTTTTCAATAATTCTGCTGTGATCATGGCTGAAAAACTCCTGAAACTGTTTTATCCAGGCCAAATTACATATCTGACCAATGTTCCTGGGCTACATAATGTACTTTCTGCTGGCTGAGACTCACTAATGCAAGGTATCAGTAGAAGGTCTACAGGCGACATGCAGACAGGAGACAAGAATGGCTGTCAGTGCTCCTGCTGGCATACTGGTGCTAGTTTGGGCATGCAACTGGGAGCAAATGTGCTCTGTGCCATCTTTCTTAGCAGCCTCAGCTGATGCCCTGTTCCCTGTCCCCATTCTTCCTACAAAACTGGAATTCATGTTGTCCAGGAGCGGCCATGGGTGCCTAACCTGATTCCATCGAGTCACGTCACCCTGGGGTTGCAATCGAGCTACCAGGGAGTCAGTGACAGCTCCAAAGCCACAGCTGCCCTTGCCAGGCTACACATACAAAAGCTCCTAATTAACCCGTACGGGGTGGGGGGAAGCATTGTTAAACTTAAATTGCTTTGTAAAATACTTTGCAGAGCGATAAACATTAAACATTAAGGGAACACTTAGCTGTCTTTATATGCCTTTCTCTCCCGAGTGTCAGTGCTTTCATAGGAGCTAATGATACATTTGCTAAGATGGTCAACCAATGCAACTTTGAATAGGTTATCTATGAGCTGTAGTGAAAAAGAAGATTCTGGATAGTTTAAGAATTGTTATGAAACATCCTTTGCTTTCATTTTCTCACACATGTATTTTTAATACTCTTTCATTTTAGGTTTTGGATGAAAAACTTATTTTTGTGAAAGTGCATGCACCTTGGGAAGTGCTGTGCACATACGCCGAGGTTATGCACATCAAATTGCCTCTGCAACCCAATGACCTGAAAACCCGCGACTCAGCTTTCAACTGGTTTAGTAGACTCTTCAGAGTGGATGAAAACATCATCAAACCCGAGCAAGAGTTTTTCACTGCCCCTTTTCAAAAGGAACATTTGTCCAACTTCTATATTCAAGACAAAGATACATTCTTCAATCCTGCAACTAGAAGCCGAATTGTAAATCCGTGGAGCATTTCTAGCATTTCATCTTAAAAAGAAAATATTCTTTTAATCAAATCAGTGCAGTCAACCTTCATGAAATCATCCTGAAAAATTAGAAATATTTGGGATGCAGAAGTCCTGTGTCGTTTATGAGACAACCTGGACAATTCAGAAGGAAAACATTCCATATCTTTGGCCCGTTTCTATTCCACCTGAATTTAAAGGGGGGATTTGAATGGTTCATATACCCTGTGCAACTAATTTTGTCTGCTTTGCTTACCCTTCCTTAACTTGATTATATGCTGAAACAGCCTATAGTTCTGTATGATTACTTTCATGTTGCAAAAGACACAATAACATTTTATAAATTTCAGGTTCACTTCATCCTATCCCGTGTGGAATATGCCACCAAAAACAATGTGAAAAAGTTTGGCATTAACAAATTACTAGACACTGGAATCTACAAAGCAGCATTCCCCCTTCATGACGTAAGTCCAGTGCTTGTAACTATAATATATGTTAAAATAGAAGTCTAAGCTGTATCTGTGGTTTTTTATAGCAAAAGATACAAGCACTAGTGATTGTCTTACTCCTGGATGGGTTATTTTACCCACATAGTAGAATAGGACATAATTTGGACAAGGAGATTGTCTTCCAAAGCACTATTGGTTAAAAATGTAGCTCCACACCTGAAAAACAATATATTTCATTTAAGAGGTGCTAGCCTTGTATTCCCTGGGAGATGTAGTTCAGTAAAGTGCCTGGCCTGAGTGGTAGTTCCCATGACACACTGTATCATTAGTTCTACATCATTTTTAACATTGACCTTTTTTTAGTATTCAATTTTCCAGTATTAAAATTCCTATCAAATATCAACACTGCAATAAAGATATAGACTATGAATCTCACCTTAGGATGCGTGACAGTCTCACACCCTAAGAAACACTCCCACAGTTCCCAAACATTGTGACATATGTGCAGGGACACTAGTGTTTCTGCAGGAACGCTCTGTCTGGCCAGTCCAACACCTCACAGGTGATGTCAGACTCATGTGGAGAAAAGCTTAACTAGGTTGAATTTCACCTTGCAATAATAAGAAATCCAGCTTTTGTAGTTACACTTGCAAAGCTTTTTGGTTTTAAAGTAGACTATTTAAAGAAGCAGGTTATCTGAAAATTGTTTTGTATACGAAGGCTAGCAGTAGCACAGAAAAAGAAAATTAAGGAGAAAAAAATCAGATTTCAGAGTATTTGACTAAGAAAAAACTCCATGTGAGGCCACAAAGAGTATACAGTAAGCAAAGACTGAGGGCTGATTTTCTGCATTATATACCCACACCCCCACACCTCCTCCCCATCAGAGCCCCCATTCTGTGTCCAAGGCAGAGCCCCCATTCTGTGTCCAAGGTGTGCTCTGTTGAGAAGACGCTGCAAACATTGGAGGTCAGGAATGGTAACTACTTCAGATGTTTGGACTAAGCTTAAAATATTCAGGAGGCCTTCAAGGAGTTCAAGGAAATCTTTAAGGCAGGATCAAGACAAATTATGTTTCTTGTTAAGTAATCCAAAGCTTTACAGGACAAAATTAATATCATTCGTGACTACCCATTTTTAAGGTTTCAGTTTAAAGATTTAAAACCTGTCTTGCAGGATATTTTTATCATGGCATGCGGAATTGAGACTCAGTAGGCCCAGTAATTAATGACTGTCTTTTTATGCAATTAAAATTATATATCACCGCTACTCCGAAAATAAAAAGTAGCCTATAGATTTCTACAAATGTCACTTGCCTCGTTGCATCACAGACAGAGAAGGGAAAATTCCATTTTAAAAAAATAGGCTTTATTAAAATGGGTTTTCAAATAACTTAGTAAAAAACACAAGGATTATCTCCATGTGAACTCTCTTTTAAATTTTAAACAGAGACTAGAAGCCCTGGATTTATCCCTCAGACTTTCCAGCCTTCATTCCAGCACAATATTATTATGAAGCAAAGCAAGTTAGCATGTTAAAGCTACTTAAAGTCCATTTTAATTCAGTCCTGTTCTCTGATTAGAATGGATCCTTTTTCTATTTTCTATTCCTAAGTGCCAAGATGCTGACATGTGCTTAGATTTAAGTTTATGATGAGCCTGTTATTTTCAGATCACATATGTAAAGCGTTGGCTTTAGCATTCAGTGCCTTTCTGACAACCTTCTATCCTGAATCCTGGTGCACTCCCAAAGCTGCCTTCCTCTTCCTTGTCCTGACTTGTGTGAGAGTGCACTAAAAGGCTATTCCAGGATCTGGCTTCATGGCGTAGGGTCTGCAGAGATGAGAGCTGGTCTATGCTGCTTAGATTAACGGTATCTTCTTCCCACACTCTT